CGCTCTCTCTCTCTCTCTCTCTCTCTCTCTCTCTCTCTCTCTCTCTCTCTCAGTCTGGGTGCGCCTGATACGTTTCTCACTGCACGTTTCCCTGCCAAGAAAGCAGCTGCTAACCCTCAAACACACTCGTCACACTCTGGCAGTTGGGTAATTGAGTGTGGGTGTCTTGAGTTGTTGACCCTCCTGCAGACTCCAGGAACAGGAAGACCTTATATCAGACAGCTGCTATAAGAGACTATTATTTTATTGGACACATTGGGCACAACAAGTGTCCTGTTGGATGCCCTTATAAAAACAAAAACATGATAACGTGTCGTTGATCGTGCCCTTCCAGTGGAGAAGACATGATGAAGTGCCCTCTTGTAAGCTACAACATCAGATAGAATAAATGAAAGCTTCCTCTAGGATGCCCTTCCAGTGGAGAAACGAGATGCAGTGCACTAATGGACGTCCTTAAATGAAGAAAACGTGATGCAGTGCCATGTAGGCTGCTTTGCATGCTGGAAAACATTTTTTAACCCTTGCCTCTCAGTCCGCCACTGATATTGGATAATAAATAGGAAAACTAAATCAGATCGAAGTCCAATCAACGAGTTCATTTAATCGCAGCTATATTCTGTTCCTGTCGGTCCTCTTTTTCTCTCATCAATGATAAACTTGTTGGCTCCATTGTAGTGTGTCCACAGGGCTGCGCTGTGATTGGTGGAGATACAATGTGAACGCGCAGTGCTCATGTGGCTTTATATATTTCAGCCTTCATACCGCGGAAAATACTTTACAGCAGAAACTCCTCTGCAAGGCTGCGCCCGCCCGTGCTGCTCCAACCTATACAACGAACAAACGATACAAACCAAAAACTCGAATACAAAGCTTCGGTCAGTCGAAAGCATGCAGGCGAACGTGTCCGCTGTGTTTGTTCTGCTCCTGGCCTGTCAACAGGTGCTGACCACGGATCTGCATGATGTCCACGAGAAACAAGTGAGCCAAGTCAAAAAGCGCCTGTCCCTGCAGAGCACAGGTGAGTACTAACAGCAGGTGTACTGCTGCCTCAACTGTACCTTTCATCAATTTACGCTGTGACTAAATGCGCCTGAAGACACTGGCATTTTTTTTGGGAAGCTTGGTTTAGTGTTTGAATACGCGCTTTTTGCATTTCATGAAATTGTGTTGTTTTTGGACATGCATTGTGTATTTACTGCTGAGAAAACCTTCAGTATTTTAGGCTTCCGTCCAGATTTACACCGATACAATTGGGCATGTTGTATGTGTGGTCTGTCTGCGGCATTGCAATGCTCCTCACCGGATGCCACTGTTCAATAGCCTTGGTGACGACGCACTGCCATGAACATTTGTTATAATATTTTTATGTATTAAAAGTAGAGTATTACTGAGTCTCCTTTGATGTGTATGCAGTGAAGTGAGGTAGGTTAAACTGACGGTAAGGCGACTGATGATTGCCTAATATTTTCATCTTCTATATGTTGGCCTTTCATTGCATCAGCAGAATAGTTTGCATGCCGTGCACCCCTAAAGCCTGTATCAGTTAACTGTGTCCCTATAGCCGGCTGAGTATGTCCCGGACCGAGCCGGGCAGCAGAGCGCACCTCTCTTTTTGCTCTCCTGCTCTGTTAGTGGCTGTAACTCAATGCGTCACTCCGGCGGCTCGATCCCGTCAAAGCACATTCCCTCCGTACCAGCAGGGCGACCTGACCTGCAGGCTGCACACCATCAACAGAAGCTTAAACTCCTAGCGACCATGAGAACAACACACGAATCCTATATGTTCGTTAAAGGTTAACGTGAAACTAACAACAACAAGTGATCTGTTTCATGAGTCCCACTCCGGTATAGTGATATTGTCTCCTCAGCAAAAGTGAACAAAAACTCTTCTCAAAGCAATATCTTTGTTTAGAATTAACATTTGAACGACAGGGAAGTAGTTCCTTCATTGCTTCAAGCACTTATCAAACTGAAATGAAATATTGCTTTCCATCACTAGTGTTGTCCAGTTTGAGCTTGCTGTCTCCTCTGGATGATGTTGTCGTCCTATCCTGCTGTCTACTACAGTGTAGCTTGTGTTATAGAAACGCTCAAACTTCCCAGAATCCAAACAAACAATACAAGAACATTGAACTCATAACAGCTTAAAATTACACGACAAGGGCATTAACTTTTCTTTCTGTAGAACCGAGGCAGTCCTGGACATGACAGGAGGTTCCCAAAGTCATCCTGATGTGTGATATCATTGTATTCGTAATGCTTATTTTGTCCTCTCTAATTAGAATACAGCACACATATGATTTGAGAGACATACTTGCTTCTGTATCCCTGTAGTGATGTTAATACTGATCTCTCTCTATGTCCTTCTGTCTCTCTCAGCGGAGATTCAGAGTTGCCTGGTGAGTTCAGGGGATGTCGGCTGTGGGACGTTTCAGTGTTTCAACAACAATTCCTGTGAAATCCAAGGGCTGCACCACATCTGTCTCACTTTGCTGCACAACGCCGGGCGCTACGACTCACAGGTGGGCTGCAGCACGACAATTCAAAAGAAAAAAGAAAATAGAATATAATGAAGTAATAGCGGGGTGGCTACGGCTGACCTATTGTTCATTTTTTGACGAAAGCATCAAATTTGGTACGTGTATATCTTTATATATTTACAAGAGATGTGGATATTGTGCCATAGCAGATTGGCATTCTGATGTGGCAGTTAGGCCACCCCCAAGCAGCTGTTTCCATAAACATAACATACATCTGTATGGCATATTACACTGAGATTTCCGTCTATTATTGTCATTGGTTCATTTAAAAAAAATAAAAATAAAAAAATTAAGTATAAAATCAAGAGTAGCTGTGAAGAAACCCTAAAAATTGACAAGATGTGTAACAAGTAAAATTGAAAAAGCTTATAAGCACAGGTAAAACAGAGAAATCACAACATCTTTGACACGTACTATACACATACATACTATGACTTTTTAACAATATAGTAACGTTAGTGTGTTAATGGCTATGGTGTCTCAACAAAGGAAAATATTGCATTTGCCTATAACTCAACTATCTTCTGGTAAGTGGACACACATACACCTACTTTGACTCTGTAAAATGATAGATATGACTCACTCTTTCACAACACATGCATGGTCATTATTTGTATTCAGTTTGTCTCACTGATGCCTGCCTAATGTTACACTGTTACTTTATTCACTTAAGTTAACGACCACACACAAGCATGTCAGATTCTGGTGGATCCAATGTACACAGAAAATAAAGGACAGTCTGTAAGCATATCATTTTAAACAGGAAGTGACAGAAGCCGGGGAGACGGCATACATCCCATGCCAGATTTCACATTGTAGTACATGCATCTTTGCTGACCGAGCCATCAGACATTAAACTGATTCCTCCTGTTGCTCTCCTCCTCCCAGGGAAAGTCATTTGTGAAGGAAGCGTTGCGGTGCATGGCGCTGGGACTGCGGCAGCGCTTCAGCTGTGTGAGCCGCCGGTGCTCAGCGGTAAAAGAGATGGTGTTCTCGCTCCAGAGAGAGTGTTACTCCAAACACCAGCTCTGCCTGGCACCACGAGACCACATGGATACCATGGGCAACCTGGTCCAGTTCCACCTGATGTTTCCCTCGGGGTGAGAGACAGAGACACACAAACAATCAGTAAACTTTTATCACCAACATCCTCTGTGGAATAATGCAGTATTGACCCGCAGTTTAACAAAAAAAAAGTAGGATATAAAAAGTAATAGTATAGTATATTGAAAAAAATCTTTAAATAGTCATATCAAGTCAAACAGTTATGAAAATGTCAGTGTAGTGTGTCGAAAAAGTCATTAAAAAGTCATAGTATAGCATGTCGAAATAAAATCATAAAAAGTCATATCAAGTTGAAAAAAGTTATGAAAATGGAAATAGTGTAGTATGTCGAAAAAGTCATTAAAAAGTAATATTGTTGTAAGTTATTATAGTATAGCATGTCGAAAAAAGTCATAAAAACGTCATAGTATAGTATGTTGAAAAAAGTCATAGTATAGTATTTCGACATGCTATACTATGACTTTTTCAACATTCAATTAAGAATTATGCTAAATACATGACTATTTTATGATTTCGAAAAAAAGTCATAGTATAGAATTTGGGAAAACGTCATAGTATAGCATGTCGAAAAAAGCTTTCCCTTTTGCTCGCTACCTGCCTTACTCTCACCTGTCTGCCGGACCTACTGCTTAATTTGGTTTCTGTAAGCATATCTGTACAATAAATCACTGAATTGATCCTGCTGCCATCCCACTATCTGCTTTAGGGTCAAATTGCTGATCCAGTATTCGCTGCACTGTGAAAATAAAAATATTCATAGAATAGTATGTCACAAAAATGTCATAATAAATGTAGTTTAAAAGGTAAAATATCTTACTATTATATGTAAAAAGTCATAGTGCAGCATGTCATAAAGATGGCCAAATAAAAATTTAAAAACATCACAAAAACTAATGGTATAGAAAGTCATAAAATATCACAGTTCAATATGTCATAAAAAATGTAATTTAAAAGTCAGTAGCTTCTCCTCGAATACCGGTCCAACTGCTATTCCAGTATTCACTACACTGTCACGAGTATGAAATGTCATATAGGATGTCATAAAGTCACGATGTAGTAGATCATGAAAAATGTCGTAAAAAAATCACAGTAAAGTATGTCATGAAACAAAGTCATGGTATAATTTGTCATAAGTCAGTAAGAGTAAAAATGACATTTTTATGTCATAAAAAGGTCATATTAAAAGTCATAGTTTAGTCTGCAATAAAAGTGTATGAGTCAAATATCTGCTGTGAAAAAGTTATAGTCTGACCTTAAGTGGTGTTTTCCTAAATATGCCATAAGTCTTGAAAGTTGGACAAACTCAAAAAGATATTCTCGTGTGTGCTTGGGCCATTAGACCTTATGTGGAGCTGATGAACTTCCTGTTGAAGTGTGGCGACACGGTCGGGATGTGGGTCGGCCAGCGGCTGCGCAGGCAGTGCGAGCAACACTGGGGAGCTCTGTGCAGCAGCTTCGGCAGCACCTGCTCTCTCAGCCAAGCAGACGCTCTGCAGCACACCACCGCCCCACCCCCCACTGTGTCCTGGCCCATCACCAATCGAGGACCCCTGCAGCAGCCGACCAAAGCGGCCGAACCAGAGGACAGGAACGGGCTGAGTCAGATCGACAACGCCACCGAATTCGGTCTCCTCATGTCTGAGAAAACCAATGTTACTGCTGTATAAACAGACAGGCAAAGGTGCAGACAGGGTACACAAAAGTCATGCACGTATTACTATTATAATAGTAGTAGTTTAGTAACCATAACTTATTAAATCTGTAATATTTTTTACAAGGATGAAAACCATTTATCTACCTCACTTCAACATCACAGTGAACCACAGTGGCTGCATCCTGCAGTGAAAACACAAGTAAACGCCACAGGGATTTTATTCAAGCGCAGCTGATGGCTCAAAGTCAGTATTCTACTATTTAAATCTGTTTTTTTGTATTTATGAGTATCGTTTTATTATGCACCGTGAAGTGGACATGCCATCAAACGTCACCTTGTAGACAGTCAGGGTTCAGTCTGCAGCAAGGAAAGCCCTCTTCTGTTACGTTATAAATATGTATTTTTGATGCTCTACTTGACTCACATTTCATACAGACCACAGGTTTCAAAGCAATGTTTTCTAACTTTTTATTTAAATCAATCTAAAAAAAATGCATGTGTAAGCATTTTGATTGAAATTAAATAACAATGACAGAAAGAAGTGTGTTAGTCAGTCAGTCCTGTAAAATAGTTCCTTCATACAAATGAACAAAAAGCATCTCTGGTGGTGGTAAATGTTGGGTATCCTGCCATCTACTGGCACATCTGTGGCAACGCTTCACATCAACATTTCCCTCATTATATGGAAATAGAACAATTCAACTTTATTCTAACAAACATTGTTCCAACATTCACAACGTCTCTGACTTAATGTGGCAGACGACGTTTACGGTATAGGAAAGTAATCAGATTTCTAAATCAGTTGTCTGGACGTCCGAAGGAAAGAAGGCACAAGGTAAATTGTCAATAACTATAACAATGGCATATTTGGAATAGTCCAGAGCAGATAAACACAGACACACAGATTGTAATTGGACAAAAGGTAAACAAAGTGAGGTTTGGTGTATACTATGGCTTTTGACCCTTGTTAGTTCAGAATGCCAGATGAAGTACGAAGGCCTCAGAATGCTTCAAAGTGCTTTTCCAAATCAGTCACGCCTACTTCCTGATCAGGAGTGCAGAGGAGTAAAAGTGGACAGAACTTCTCTCAATGCTCTGTTCCACTGCTGACAATTTCCATGCAGCCTTCGAGGAGAGACTGCCTGAAAGTGTGTACCCTCATCTAAATTTGTATAAATCGCCGCTTCAAGACGACACAGTCACTCAAAAGCCAAAGCTCTCGGGATGTGACGTGGCAAAGAAGGAGGGCGCTATGACAGCCGGCTTTGAGTAGTAGTATAAAAGCGTTTACCTTGAGACATGGTTGAACAGCACACATTTGTTTGAAGCATGCTGAGGCTTTAACCCTATCACTGTTGTTGCATGAAACCTCATATTACCAATTTAAGTTGAACCTTTATACCCATTTTATAAACTCACATATTGCATATTGTTAAGCTAATAATTAAGAAGCTAAACAATATGAAACGTTCTAACTAGACACTCGTCTCTTTGTGCGAAAGTCCAGTCTTCCAACTCTGCATGTAGTCCATATGGTAACTTTCTGCTGAGTGATACAACAGCCTGCAGCCTGGGTGAGTTCTTTAGCGAGGCAGCTAAATGAAAGGGAAGAGACGTTTCTTAAGGATGTAGAGGACGGTGGCGAAGAAGAGGGCCAGAGCCAGGAAGATGAGCAGCTTGTCTGTCAGCTCCCGCCGGTTGTACTTGAGGATCAGTCTCCTCCCCAGGTGAATGGTCCCGGTCATGCTTTTAAACTCGTCGTTGGTTTCCTGCACCGTACTTGAGGAAGTGGCTGTGTGAGGAGGAGGAAGAAGAAAGTATAAAAGGCTAAACGTGGAATGGAATATGTGTTGGTAAATATCGATGAGCGATAAAGACATTGTTGTAAATTGGATTGACCTTTTGTACACAACCTATAACACGACAAAGTAGAGTTTTTTTCTTACCCAGTGTGCCGATAGTGTCCTCGCTCTGCTTCACCTGTTCAGCCATCATCCTGCTCATAGACATCAGACTCTCTGTGATGTTGTTACTGGTCTCTACTAGGCTATCTTTGGTCACCTTCCTGATACAAAAACAGACACAAAGCAGATCTGAGGTCTGTATGGGGTCAAATCACTGTTAATAAATTACTTTGGCGAGCGCGGCACAGATCACTCCGCACAGATCACGCGGCACAGAATATCTCTGTTGAACTGAAGCCTGCGAGGAGAAAACCATGCTTTGAGCGTGAGGAGCGTTTTCCTGGCGCACGACTTATATCGCTGCTCGCTAAGCTTCCACCTGCTGGGGGGTTTGCAGCATATGACCAATCACAAACATGGACAAGTCTAGTAACTGTCAGCAGAGCAGCATATTTTACAAACAAAGGGCAAACTTGGCTGTAATATAAGACAAATACGATCAAGTTGCGATCAAAGTCATCCAGACTAAAAGCAAAAATCACAGACTGTGTGACTGCATAAGTTTTTCGGACAGGATTAATATAACAGGGAGGTGGTTAATGATTTAGCTGTAATGATATTATTAATTAAGACAGTCAGAAGCAACTTAAAAGTCTGTTTCTAACGATTAGGCCGCTTTTGCAGTAAGAAAGAAACTGGTGTACAGTGTATCAGTAACACTGAACGCAGCTGAGACACAAACTTTTAAAATGCAAATAGTCTCTTCAGACTGGACTTAGGTTACGAAGAGACCAGAGAGTTTGACTGAGGTGTAATAAATTCTGGGATGGGGGTTCAGGCTGAACCCCCATCCCAGCAAAACACATGCCATGTTAAATATATAATGGCATGAAGCTGATTGGCTCATCGTGTCAGCGCCACAGTAAAGCCTCTGGGTTTACTGACCTTTGTCTGGTGCTGTGGTTTTCTACTTCATGCAGCAGCTCGTCCTTCTCCGTGTGGTCTATGGCTAGTTTACAAGCCAGGTTAGCTTTCCTCCACGCTGTCTGGTTACTGGAATCCACAGGAAGAAATAACACAAAAAACAACTGTCAGAACTTCAGTTTCTGTTATAGATTTCTTCATCTCAACTGGTCTGTGTGTCTGAATATTTTTGTGTTTAAACTCATCTACACCAAATGTAATACTTTTATCTGCCTCTCAAACTATTATTAGATCCAGGTATGAATGCATTGCATTTGTTTTTAAGGATCAACACCTAGAATGTTAACTACTCCCAAAAACACCATCAACACGATAAATTAGAGCTTCCACCAAACCTGATGCAAAGAGGGGTTCCAAACAAGCATCACAGCTCATTGCGATGTGTTGACTGAGAGCAAAATACAGATGGGTTCACTCACTTAAACACTCGACTGGACGCTGACATTTAAGTGGGATTGGTGATGTGCATAAAGTCAGTGATTCAGGGGAAAATGAGTTCATGCACACCTCAACATTTGCCTTCGCTGGCTCTCCGTCTCTGCCTGGATGGCCAGTTTGTCAGTCTCTCTGTCCTGCTCTCTGGCCATCTGCTCCAGATCCTGACAACGGCACACCGTGTCAAATAAAACAGTTTGGATTTTAAGCAAGAAATCTGTCAGATGCAACACAGTACACACGTGGGGATGTGAGCCCTGACCTGTATTCTCAGTCTGAGCTTGTTGAACTTCTCTTTGACCTGGGAGTTGAACTCCATGAGAGTTGACTGAGGTCCAGGGCAATCCCTGATGTCCTGCAGGTAACACACACACACACACACACACACACACACACACACATAATGACATGGTCCTACCTAAAAGAAGCGACCAATTGTTTCAGCTTTAATAGATTTAAATGTAAAAATATACATAACATAGGGTTTACATCTAATGTTTGAGCGTACGTTTGGTAACACTATTGGGGTTACAAGAGTTAACTTACAAGGTAACTTTTGTAACATTCATTCTTTGGTCAAAAGGTCTGGTGTGATGCCTGACAACAGATTTTAAAACCCATTTCTCAATTAATAACTTATGTTAATCCTCACATCGGCTAACGCTAGCTAGTTTCACGATAACGTTAGACAATAAAAATGGAGGGATCAGTGATAGGAATAAAGTTGAACAAATATACTATCATTACACCGAAGAACCGACACTCAGTGTACCTCAATGTCTCTTTTAACTGCCTTTACCTGCTTAACTGTTAGCTAACATTAGCTTTTGTTAGCTAACGGCTGGAGCAACTTTTAGACCTGATGACGACACTCGATACCAGCATGAGATAAAAAGATGAATCAACAGACAAACTACGTGTTTGCAGTTCTTACCTGAACAAGAGCCTTAATTTCTAGGTCATATTTTATAATTTCTTGTCCACAAATTCGGACGTGTACGTCCGCGGAAGACGCCATATTTGTTTTTGTACGGCAAGCTGGAGGCTCTAAAGATGACGCGCTCTACTGAAGGCGAAGCAATAGTTTGTCACACTGCAAATATTAAAACCACTGTGTGATCAATAAATAACTTATTCTGTTAACATTTGATATACCTATTAACGAATAATTGATGTCAAAGATTAGAAGTCTAACTCTGCATAACACATTCAATAACTACATTTTAGTTATAACATGGTTTCCCAAATATGTACGGTTTTATAGTAAAAATTTAAACAAAATACTTTTTTTCTAGGAAACCCTTTCCTGAAACGTGAGACGCATAATGTCAGAAATACTTATGAGAGCACCAAATTATACAAAATTATATTTCCCTTCTTCTAAGTATCACCTGCTAAAAAAGTTTTTTTAGGAAATAATGAGCCTTTTCTAGAAGGGAAACTATATATTTCTGACCCGTAAACATCTTCAGTAGAAATTAATAGATTTGGGCCTGAAATCTCCAACAGCGTGTCAATAGGTATAGTGTTCCTGTATTTTGTCCCTTCCTTATACCTATATTATCTTGTTAGACATATACATACATTAAAAGTTTATATAGAGGAATGAGATAACCTGTGATGATGTTTTTTTGCTAATACTATGAAAATTAAATTAAAATATTTGCGCAAATCAATATGTACACTTGGCTCTTCATCTCAGTGATCCTAAACCCCATCTGCACATAGTTACATGAACCAATTAAACAGACAAGATTAAGGATGGGGTGCTAATGGTTTTATTATTTTGATATTAAAATCAATAAACATAATCAGACTATTGTGGTTACAAGCAGAGCTGTGGTACCAACTCCCGGCTGATACAACAGAGAAATAATGGTTTACAAAATAAGAAAGAAAAAGAGAGAGGCACAATAACACAACAGAGATTCCGGGCAGGTGTCCGCAGGATGTCAAGCAGCCAGAGACAAAACTGTCAGAAGTTCTGAAACTGAATGAGTTGTTACAGTAGTACAAACCAAAAAAAAAAAAACATATTTTAGATTTCCATGCCTGTGCATAAAGCCACCCACTGTGCATCCAAGAAAAGAAAAAAACAAAACAATGTGAAACAAAACAAAAGTTAGATAAAAGAAAAGTAAAAACCCAGCACAACATTTATTACACAACATAAATATAACAACTGTCAAGATATTGTATTCGAACAGGCATATATGTGAACTACAAATATAGACATTGCTAAAGAGAGGATGAAGTTAGTTTCAGCAGGATACACTTCCTGCAGGTTTTGCTTCTTAAACAAATTAAAATCACCAAGAGATCTATTATAGAGCACTTAGCAATGAAGTACAGCCTTCCTACTGAGACTGGGGAGAGGAACACACACACACACACACACACACACACACACACACACACACACAGGACTATCTACAGAAAGATCCCATGCTGTTGATCTAGTCAAATTGTTTACCATACAAGACCAGAAGCATCATAACAATGGCATGTAGCTGTGGAGCTCAGAATGACCGATACCTCCCACATCCTCTACATGGACGTGTATGGATTTTACTATAAAATCATTTCACTGTCCATCTTGATTATCAAAATTGAAGAAAAAAATGAAAAAAAAGAAAACGGAACATATGCTTTAGGATAAACATTTCCTGTTTGTTAAATGTCTATCCATGCATTTTGGCAAATCTGGAAGGAGATGTAAATTACTGCAGTATTGTATGATGACGTGTGTAGATATGGAAAGAGGGGTTGTTTGTATTATCACGGGTGAGTTGTTGCCGTTTGCTTCAATAAGATCAGTCTGTAGAAGAGGAAATGACTCCCCTCCCCCAATCATTCATTGCAGGGGAGGATGAGGAGTCTCTGCCCACCAGCCTTTAGTGGCCCCTGGCTAATATCAGGAGCTCCCTGACAAGACAACTGCGAACCAAAGCCCTTCTGATAAAAATAAAAGCACCCAGAAGGGGGCGAAACATCTCTGGTGCAGTCGTAAAGTTTTCCCAGAAAACTGATCAAATGCTTACATTTTTCCCACCAAAGACAGAGAGAGCAGGCGAGCCGACTCCTAACCTGAGCTTCAAGGCTGTGGAGCACCCGAACCTCGGTCCAAGGTCATGACAAAAGAAGAGTTGTGTCAAGGAGAGGTTCTCTTTGCCGACTCGCTGAGTCTGGTTTCGGGCTCTACCGTCCCCGTCTGACCGCCTCAAACCTTCAATGACAGAACGCTTCATGGGCTTCACAGACAACGCTTAATCAAAGTCACTATGAAACCACAACTCTGACAGCATCTTGCTTCCTTTCACTGGCTTTAGGGCAGAACATAATGCGAGAGAGTATAAAGTCATAAGATACTGAAGGCAAGGAAGGTAATAACTGAAGCCACTATGTGTGGTATCTTTATGTAATTACACAAATTATTTTTAAGATGTATTGTAAGTTTCGTGGCCAAATCTGGTTAAAGTCGGTGCAGTCTGTAAATAGGGAAACAATTAGCAAATTTAAATGCTGGTCTGTTTTGGGGTTTTATCCATCTATATTAATTATCCGTTGGTTTATTTTTAAATACATTTTTAAGCTGATTTATATAATTTGTAATATCTCTGTTGTCAACCTAAATTGCAATCTGATGTTTATATTGATGCACTATCTAATTAAACATTAATTAATGACTTTATAACCATTTATATGTCATATTATAACCATCTCCAAAGTGCAGTAACAGGATTGAAAACAAATCTAAATGATGAGGTTATATTATAGATATACTATGAGTAAATCTAATAACATTTATATGTAAAAGTACAAGAAAATGAAGTAAGTAATTATTATGTAGTTATACAGGCAAGTAAAAAAAACAGAAAGAAAACTGGTTTCATTGTGACTTTGATCCATGTCTGTGAACCTCATGTGAAGTCTGTGACTCCTGGTAACGCCTGCTTCAGTGGAAAAGCTATTAAGTCTCGTTTCAACAAGTTGTCTCCTTACATGTAAATTTACAGGACAAAACAAATAAATATCAAAGAAATGGTATGAACACTGGGGTCTGGAAAAATACGCAACAAAATATAATTCCCCCCAAAAACAATTCTAACATGCAACTTTTGACAGAGTCAGAGCATAAATATCAAACCATAATATTAATAAAAAAATGTTTAAAAGGTTTAAACATACAAGCAGGATAGCGCCATATAAAGACACAACATTCATTATCTTTCTGGATCCTGATGACAAGAGTCTCCCTCTGTATCCAAACAAAAGTCCAACAGGAAGTAGCACAACCAGACACTCACGTCTGTCTTTATGATCCTGCTGAGGAAGACTAGTCTACATTCATCAGCAAAGCAGCAGCAACAGTTATACCTCGCTATATCAGCATACAGCAGTGCAGCAGTCAGAAACACTAGACTGACTAGAGTCATCGACAGAAGGAATAATATGGCTAAAACGGCTTTTTAACACAGCCATGTTAGCACCCAGCCACTGACAGATTAGCACCACAGCTTACCTCCATGCTCAGTTTGTCGCTTCATTCGCAACCCGTGACTCAGTGCCAACACTGACTTCAAGGAGGGTCTGGCACTTCATAATAGCAAAGTTAAGAAACGGAAAGTTCTGTTTTAAGCTTTTTTTTTGTTTGTTTTGTTTTTCTCCAAAAAGGTCTCAAGAGGCGGCAACACGGTGCTCCATGTCAAAACCACAGAATGCAATTGAATTGACGAGGTAAAAAGCAGGCCCAAGTCTCCCTCTGCCTCAGACACAGTGGAAGTTTGCTCTTCTCTACACGGACACACCAGCGGTGATAGCAGCAGCAGCCAATACAGAAAACACAATAACGTGGCGTAGTGGGCAGAGAAAGAGTTCAAAACGGAACCAGGTTTCCCAAAACAACATCAATTTAGAGTTGACATTGATGTTCTTCTTCAGTTATACGTTAAAAGGTCAATCCTATGCAGACACGACAATCAGCATATCTGCCGTTTAAGGCCGACTGTTATACAAAATCTATTGATTTGGGATTAAAATTAGGTTTTCATTGAATTTGTGTACTTCAAGTTTAGGCTTTGGGAAACCCAGCCCCTTGTTTCTGTAGGGAATCCCCTTCAGACTGACAGAAGGTGCAGATTTGTGTTCTCAAATATTTGATTAAGGCACCTGGTTCAGCAGGCATCATATTCAAAAACCAAGTGCAAGGTGAGAAACACTCTTGGTCTTTTAACTGTCGTAGGAAAAAGGGGGGGAAAAAAAAAAACAAACGGGGTGTGTGGAAATTAAATATTTGAATTTTGTCATGGACACTAAACCAAAAACGTAAGTCTTTTTGTGCTCATTCAATAGCAGCAGGTATGAAATCATTCGACTCAGAGTGCAGTAACAATGGAGACGCTTTCCATTGGTCAAATTATTTCCCGATCTGCAAAGAAATCCAGACTTGATTCTCTCAGAGCTATGCAGGAAATCGTCCTGCAGCAACGTTATTCCTGCTGCAGGTTTGTTTGTTTTTGTCACAGAGGACATTTCTGTACATTTCTACTTCACACTAGGAAAAATGTGCAGGTTAGTGAGTATACAGCCTCTGAAGAGGAGGCGTTTTGACAAGCAGGGTAGCCCACATGGGTCCGAACAAGACAGGAAACATTTCAAATGCCCCGAAAGAAACTCAAAACCAGACTCTGAGATCTGACAACACAGCCAGCAGGAGGTGAAGTCATTTTAGTATTTTGTTTTTACAAACCCAATTTATTGAGACAATAATATTTGGTAATGCTCATCTTACAGATTTGTAATTTCTTGATTCTTTTTCACTTTGTTGTTGTTATCAAACAGTAATAATGTAGTCATGTTTCTGGTAACCTGGTGAAAGTAAGTCCAATATGCCAAAACTAGAATCGATTAGTTGTTAGTATATAAATTAATTGTTTTTCCATTACTGAACTGCGTAGCACTTTCACTTTCAAAGACTCCTCTTTGAAGTTATTCTAAAATTACAGAAACACTGATGAAATAAAGCATTTCCAAATATTTCCTCTCTCACCGCCAACATATTAACATTAGAAGAAAATTCCACTATTTAAATCACCAAAAGCAATGTCCCAATACACCAAAATATATGCAATTATTTTTGCAGTTCTGGTGAATGTTTTGTGCCTCTCAGATGGAATAATGGTATCAATGGTATCAAATCAAGGAGTCTGACTTTTACAGAAGAAATAAAGGTACACCTAACAATAGCGACCATACAGCTCAATAATACAGAAATCACCATTCTGCTGTTGTTCAGAGGAACAATGTTCCTCTTATTGGTCCAACAGGGACAGTTCAATGCAAATGATCAGGAGGGGAAGTCTGGTCTGATGACCGTTATTGAGAACAATAATCACATGTTATCTGTGTGAGTGGATCTAATACAGATGCCATTTTTAAGTATTGGATGATTTCTTGGGGAAGTAATCAGCACCATGTGACGAACCTCAGTTGGATCACGGCGGGAAATCAGAGTCAAATCCTTTGTGAGAGGAAATTGTTGCAGGTTGTGCATGTTTGAATACCGATGTGGGAGAAAGCGTTGAATTATTGTGACAAGTCTGTTGGCCTTTTTTAAGTTTGTGTAGCGAGCATTGCACTATATTGATTGACATTGACAAGTCATAACACACACACACACACACACACACAAAATATTTTGTACAGAGTAAAGAATGGCGACAATAATTGGAATACATAAATATATTTTCTTTTGATTATATATTTCCTCACATATGTCAGATAGAAGAAAAATATTACCCTGATTTGCTGAAGAAGAGCTTTATGGATCCACTTAGCTTTTATTGGACAAGAGGAGCACACACTATTAGCTTAGTAGTTGACTGTATAGGATTTATACCATCAGAAATAAAAGGAATAGTTTTACTGGCGAGGATTTTTCACTCATTTCCTTGACTGTTAAAATGCCACAGAGTCTTCTGGTCTGAATGTAAAGTTGCACAGCTTGCGCCTGTCATGTTAAATGTAAAAACCTGTGAGGATTCTATCTTGAATCAGCTTCGTGATCGTCTACAAAACACACACACACACACACACACACACACACACACACACACACACACA